CTTTGCTCAACAACATGAATGTCTGTGCTTGAAGAGAAACCGAAGCTCATCACATTGGCACCGGACTTTTTCAACTGCTGAAATGAAAACCAAAGTCTGTGTTAACTTGATGCAACTAAAAAAAACAGACAGTACCATCTTGTTTTCATATAAAGCAAAACATTCACAACTTTTTTTCAAATGACTTTCACATAGACGGAGGCAGGAGTTAAGGTACTGTTGCTGTTGATGGATTGATCCAAAGGACATTTTCTGTCAAAGACTCTTCCAGCAAGGCACCAAAGTTTCATCTGCTGCTGGAGACAGACTACCATGAAAACAATAGTAATAATAGTCAAATACTCATTGTAATTTTTTGCTGGTTCTGTGTGAGCAACAGGAAAAATGGCAGCTCAGTCCACACAACCCCAACAAAATGTTTCATCATAGCACACCATCTACTCTGTTTTTCTGCTTATTGAAGCTCAGACCAGCTAGTGTTGAAAAGAAACTGATGAGAATCTCTCAAGTCTAATGGATTTGTCTAAGCAAGTTGTCTGCCAGATGTTTCTAGAAAGATAGTCAAACCTTTTGTCAAGCTGTTTCCATCCTGCAGCCAATCATCCAGAATTTCCATAAGTGTTGTCTAATGCACAATTTGGAGCCTATTTAGAAATGACTGAGTAAAGCAGCAGCATTAAGATGGTAACACAAGAAGGGAGCACCTCAAGCTAACCTTTTTATTGTTGCATTTACTTCCTGAAGACATTCTCAAAGAGTTTTACATCATTTATTAGTTGGTGAGTTACTGAAAAAAAAACTCCATAAGCCAACAGACTTGTTAGCACCATTGCTAATAGGACAATAATGTAAGTTCACAAAGCTGTATTTGTACTTTGTCTCCTGTCTCTGAACTATTTGTCCTCTTTTGTGGAACAGTTTACACTCAGAAAGAAATGGAATAGTGCAACACGGCTAATAAACTGGTTTTCACAAAGACAGTTTGCTATTGGTGAGCAGCACAATTTCACAGTCGTTGAACTAAGTGCAAAAGCTGCATGGATTTACATCACGCCTGTGAGGAGACTGGTTTTGCTGTTTCAGATGATAGTGTGACGAAACCTTTAAACAGAACAGCGATCAGACAGCAGCAGTGTGGGCTCAGACTTTTTTGTTCAGTAGGTTTTTCTTGTTCACAACATTTCAGTTTCTTAGTGTTATTCAGTGCTAGATTTTTCTTTATTTTGTAACCATTTTTGAAAGATCCTTTTAGATTTTGATGACTTGCTGTGTGTGAGGAATCTATTCCCATCCACCTAATGCATTTACTGATTTCTACTGTGTTTTTCTTTTTTTGTTTTCCTTTTGAGAGACATCAGATACATACCTCCAAGAGGTTGCCTGAGCCAAAGCCTTGGTCATGGTGCCAAGACGTTCAGTCAGGTCACATGAAGATCACAAGTGACGGGCAGGCAGTGTACATTTCAAAGGTCAAATCAGTGACTTGAAACCACAGTATGATTGATCCCAGCTGTGTATGTAATATTTTAAACATGATAACCACAGTCAGACATTTTACTGCTGAAATAAGACTCCAGTCCTACAGTGATGTTTCACTACAGGAACCAGCAAAGTGTCTTTGGATGGACAAGATAATGCGTGCATCTGTGGTGCACTGCAGCTTGAACCACATATGGTGGGAATGTACCATGACAGAAATTCACTCTTCTATGCTGAATGTGTTCAGTTTGCTGAATAAAAGCAGATTTAGTGACACTTCTACTGTTTGAATTGTTTCTTAAAGACACCTGAAAACATGATGAAGGCTCCAACTAGACACTGCCTCTTGTGAGGGATTATAACCACAGATTTAATCATAAAGAATGCATTACCATTTTTGTTTTATCTAGAGTAAATCAGTAACAAGGGTCATATAAAAATGAATAAAATTGCATTTTGCTCTGAATTTCAGCGAAGTAGCAGTATAAAGGGGAACAGAATGGAAATACTCAAGTAAAGTACAATTAGCTCAAAATGGAACTTATAGTAAGCACAGTATTTGTGTAAGTGTATATTCCACCACTGCAGATGTGCCTTGTTTAGGACCTGTCATGTAGCTACAGGCTGTAAACTCAGAGACACGCCCTAAGTTAAAATATAGCACTAACAAGTCAGTAAATCTTCTGTAGGTTAACTATGTTCATTTAATAAAACTACACCTAAACTCTAGTTTTCCCATGAACAGCTCTTCTGTCCAGCTTCTCCATAGCTCTGAGCTGAGCTTTCAGTACTACCATTATATATCATTTACACTGGAAACAGTAAACCTGGTTCACACAGAAAGTGGCTGTACTGGAAATGAATGAATGAATGGAAAGAGGGTATGTAAAAATACCTGAAGACTCATGAGGAGGAAAAAGTGAAAGCTGCTGTAAAACAACCTCACAAGAAGATGCTCTGTTTCTACTGAAGGTCTGTTTTAATTTCAGCCAAATTACATGGGTACTTTTCATCTACCACCTAATATTGAAGAAAATGTATTCTTAAAAATCACTCATTCATATCACGAATTTGTATTAATTTGATTCTGAGGACATCTGTACTCTGCACCATTTGCATTTATCAGTGAAGAATTGCACCCACATTGTTTACAGGATAAAGATTTTGTGTTTGGAGGTTGTTGCACTATGTAATCACCAAGCACATGTAAAATATAAAAAGCATTACAAAAATATAAAATTATTACTATTATTGTTGTTGTTGTTATATTTTAGCCAAGCTATCACCATTCTGGCACTGGTACGTGAGAAGCCTTAAGCGTTGCCCGTGGATGTGACACAATTTTAATATACTAAAATATACAGTTATTTATGGGTTAAATAATAGTGCAATAATATTAAACTGCTCAATAAAAGAAAGTCAATTTACATTTAAAAAAGTGTAACTTAATACAGACATTTTCAGTAAGGCATAACGTATGGCACCAACATTAGAGGGTCCTTCGGTGGTTCACACGGAAGCTAACGCTAATGACCGATGTAAGTTCTGCTACTGTTAGCAGGTAAACATCTTCTAATATCAATATACAGTAATGGGAATAACCACGCGCAGGCGTTTGTACTGTATGCTAGTATAAAATTACACCCTCGCAATTTGATACACACTAACTGTTAGTTTAACACTGTGAAAACATTTGTTTACATTGGTTTCTGTTCCTCCATTCAAGTGGCCTAGCTAAACGCGTTAGCTGTGCTAATACTAACTCTTGGTTTTGTTGTGCATTTGTGTGCAATCGTTACATCTAACACGTCACTGTCTGCACAACACGGCAGAATGGACTCTCTTTCTTAAAGATAAATATTTAACTAACTCGTCAGCTATATTATTTACATAAAATAAAGCTAACGTCTCTATGCTAAACAGGGCAGTTCGGCTAAGTGGCTAACGAGATATGTTTCCAACACAACTGCAGCTCGGGTGTGTGTCAGACAAATATTAACGGTAGAATAAATGGCTGTGTAATTAAATGTAGCATTGCTCTCATCTGTTGTTTGAAACATGGATCTACGTTGACAGCAGTAAGTTAATATAGAAATAATTTGAACGCGTCTCTCGCTGTATGTTCCCCCTTCTGCTCCATTAGGAATTGGGAAATTACAGTACAGTTTAAGAATTATAGTGAATGACTTGGATTTTATTTAAGAGTCGTGTCATTTTCTGGCCTACCCCTCATGGTATTATAAAACATCAACTCTTAACAAAACAATCCTTCCACCATGGATAGAAAAACAACCGGTAGCTATTTTGATAGGTGATTAATTGTTAAAGTAATTTGAATGCAAAAAATATCCATAAAAATAATGTTTCAGTCTCTCTCATATAAACAGTTTAAAGATGTTTCCTTTGACTCTTACTAATTTTGGAAATACCTTCACAACAGCAGTGAGTGGTTTTAACCACCTTATCACGTTGTCTTTCCATAGTATGCCTGCTGAAAGCAAGCGCTCAGTAAACATGGATGAGAAAGACGTTTGTTCCTTCAATAACAAGGAAAAAGAGAAGGATAGAGATAGTGAGAGAAGACCAGTATCTGCTCGAGACAAGGCTAAAGATGAAGCCAAAATGAGTGGTAAAAAAGACAATGTCAAGGAGGAGAAGAGAAAGCGCCTAGAGGAGGAAAAGAAAAAGAAAGAGGAAAAGGACAGAAGGAAGAAAGAGGAGGAAAAACAGAAAGCGGAGGAGGAGCAGAAGAAGAAAGAGGAGGAGGAGAAGAGACAGCAGGAGGAGCAGGAGCGGAAGCTACAAGAGGAGGAGGCCAAAAGACAACGTGAGGAGGAAGCAGCTCTGCTGAAGTAAGTGATGGTGAACATTGCTGTTGTAACATCTTTGTAAATCCTCTTTTTACTGGTGGTATCCCTCCATTTAATCATCACATTTTGGACTTTTATGGAGCATCAAATTCAGTCATCATTGCCTTTTTCAGTTGCTTTTTCAGAACTACTAAAAAGTAATTCAGCATTACTTTTTATGGTGCAAATTAACCTTACATAAAATCAGTATATCCTCTCTAATAGTACAGGCATGGCAGGCCACCATGCTTACACAACAGGCCGATTTTTACACACACACACACACACACACACACACACATACACATATACATATACATACACATATAAAGCATTCAGCTAAGATACTGCGCAGGACCCTCAAGCTCACCGTGTCTCTTTCCTGCTCCAATCTGATTTGCTGCTGACAGCTCTGGTAAGAAAAATGAACAAACCTCAGAATGCATGAAAAACATCAACAAGTGTGACCTCAGAATACCGCTTTTAATTGATTGTATATGTACCCTGAGGTTAATGGAAATGAGGCATTCCTTTCACTGACTCACCCAGGTTTCTCTAAGTTACTGTAAGTTTGTGATATTTTCTTGTGGAACCGCACTGTCACTGTGTTTGTCTCTTGCCTGCACTTTCAGTATGCTGCACCAACATTACGATGTGTCAGTAATTAGTGCCATTGTAATAGTTTAACATAACGTAATTGATCACTAAGTAATCATCACAGGACAAATCAGCTATTATTGCTAACATGAGCATGGCATCACCTAAGCAGAGGAAAGCAAGGGATGCTCAACCGGAAATATTAATGTTTTTCTCCAAAAAATGCAGATGCAAATAAAGATGAGGAAGAGAGGAGAGGTAGAGAAGTAGTAGGTAGAGGGGGGCAGAAGGATGGCGGCGAGGGCTCCGCTGTTAGCATAAGCATCGGTGACACAGGTATACAGGCTACAAGTCGAATGATAGAAGCAAACAGACCATCTGGTTGGGACCCAGAGCTGGGGGAGAATTTTCATACATTGATGCCATGGTGAAATTTTTCCAATGCCAAGAAAAATTAAGTGCACACTGTGCTCATGATGAGAAAACAAGCAGTTTGTTTCAAATTGCATTTTGCACCAACATGAGAGTTTATTGTGGTTTTATGATTTGATATATTTCATTATGCAGATTTTGTCTTTTTAATTCACTTATTTTTCTTAAAGAATGTTTGTTCTGACTTCTTAGACTGTGAAGTAACTGGTAGCTTTAACGGTAATTTTATTATATTAATAAGTATACCACTTGGTAAATGGTCTTATACTTGTATAGCGCCTTTCTATGCTTTTACAGCACACTCAAAACGCTTTCACATTATTCGGCCATTCACCCATTCGCACTCGCAAGCATTCACGCATTCACACACCGGTGACATCACCGGGAGCAACTGGGGGTTCAGTGTCTTGCTCAAGGACACCTCGACATGTTGACTGGACAAGCCGGGAATCGAACCGCTAATCCTCTGGTTAGGAAACGACCCGCTCTACCTCCTGAGCCCAACTTATATTAAGTTATATTAATACTCTCCTTGACTTATGTGACCATTACATGGAAATGACCAACCAGAAGTCTTGAGTTGGGTGAGAAATAAATAACCAAAAACCTCTGTCATCCTCTTGTCACTGTACCTGAAAAATTTCATGGGGGAAACACTGATAAATAATCCTATATGGCATGTCTGGTTAAGACAAGTAGTGACTTTGTCAAAGCTGCATCCAGACAGCCCGTGTACTAATTACTTGACACTCAAGAAAGTCAAGCAAGTCTCTCTTACGTTCATTATTTATCTTTCTCCATTTTACCTAATTTCTGCAGAGAAACGGAGGAGGCGCATCAGCTGCACCAGGAGGCCTGGGAGCGCCATCAGTGCAGGAAAGAACTTCGCAGCAAGAACCAGAATGCCCAAGAGGGTCGGCCTGAAGAGGCCTTCTTCAGCCGACTGGATTCCAGCCTTAAAAAGAACACTGCCTTTGTCAAGAAGCTACGTACACTTACTGAACAGCAGCGAGACTCGCTTTCTAATGACTTTGCTTCATTGAACCTCAGCAAGTACATTGGCGAGGCTGTGAGCTCTGTTGTGGAGGCCAAACTGAAGATCTCTGACGTAGGCTGTGCTGTCCATCTCTGCTCCCTCTTCCACCAGCGCTATGCTGAGTTCGCTCCTTTGCTGTTACAAACATGGAAGAAACACTTTGAAGCAAGGAAGGAAGACAAAGCGCCCAATGTGAGCAAGCTGCGCACAGACCTGCGCTTTATTGCTGAGCTCACCATCGTTGGCCTCTTCACAGATAAAGAGGGTCTTTCGCTGATTTATGAGCAGCTGAAGAACATTATTGGGACCGACCGGGAGACACACACTCATGTGTCGGTGGTAATCAGCTTCTGTAAGCACTGTGGGGACGACATTGCTGGTCTGGTTCCCCGCAAGGTGAAACTGGCAGCTGAGAGATTTGGTTTGGCCTTCCCTCCAAGCGAGATAATCAGCACAGAGAAACAGCAGCCCTTCCAGAACCTTCTACGAGAGTACTTCACATCACTCACCAAACACCTGAAGAAGGACCACCGGGAGCTGCAGAACATTGAGAGGCAGAACAGGTAGGTATATTTTCACCGTTTTTCTCCACAGGGGATAGTGTTGTTGTTCACTATGTGAAGACCTCTTAACATTTTCTCCTCTTCAGGCGTATCCTACATTCCAAAGGGGAGCTGAGTGAGGACAGGCACAAGCAATATGAAGAGTTTGCCACTTCCTACCAGAAGCTGCTGGCCAACACTCAGTCCCTGGCTGATCTGCTTGATGAAAACATGCCAGAGCTACCTCAGGACAAGACTGTGCAGGAGGGTCTGTTGATTAGAAGTTACATTGAAAATACTCTCTTAAGGATATAAGATACGTGTTTGTATTATGAATGAAGTCAGATAGTGATTCCAAGTGTGTTTTGTGTATATGACATTGTCTCTTCTCCGCTCTCTCAGAACATGGCCCTGGCATTGACATTTTCACCCCCGGTAAGCCTGGAGAGTATGACCTGGAGGGGGGGATCTGGGAAGATGAAGATGCTCGTAACTTCTATGAGAACCTTGTGGATCTGAAGGCCTTTGTCCCCGCCATCCTCTTCAAGGACAACGAGAAGAGTAGCCAGGGCAAAGACAAGGATGATGCCAAAGGTATATGTAATAAATCCACAGACAGATGAAGAAAGAGGCTCACACAGAGCTTTATTCTGACTGTGCTGATGTTTCTGGCTGGTTCAGATGGCAGAGAGGGGAAGGATGCAGCCAGCACCACAGAGGAGCTGGAGCTGGAGCTGGAGGCTCTGGACATCACAGATGAACCTCTTGAACTGGAGGGACCAGACGAGGCAGAAAACGAAGAACTGGCCAAAAAACTGCTGGATGAGCAAGGTAAACATGAAAAGCACCTCCATACTTAAACATGATACCATACTCAAACTTTAATTTTGAAGTCACAGAGACGATATTACCAGGCCAGGTAACAGTTTGATAACACTTCAGTCTAAATTAAATGTTGTCATGTAAAAACTACAACAGCACAAGCTTCAGTGAGCACAGAAATAGATTAGATATATACATCAGTTGTGGCCCCTGTACATAATATCAGATACCTTCTGATAATAATACAATACAGTGAAACAGACATGATAGAAATGGAAAAGAACATCATAATATAAATTTCCGATAATAACTTTATATCAGTAATATAGTATTATTCTATAGTGATACAGGTACTAGAAAGTACTTTGCATGTTAGATATGTTACTACTATTTATGCTATTGCTTCCAAAATAATAATACAAAATGTTCATTTATTACATTTCTTATAAAGTGAGCTTTTCTGTCCTCACTCTTTATTGTGTAGTCACTTTTTTGCAGTGTGAACGTTATTTTAAGTGGATTTTCATTTCATTTCATTTTTACATGTGTAGAACAAGAGGATGAGGAGGCCAGCACAGGGTCCCACTTGAAGCTAATTGTGGATGCCTTCATCCAGCAGCTCCCCAACTGTGTCAACAGGGAACTCATCGATAAGGTGATGACAAACAAACTAGAATGCTTATTGTGGTGTACATGTTACTTAATGTCTGGCGGTGCCCTTGCTTTGGGGCATAAACAGAAGTGATGCTGTGTAGGTATGTTGGCCATGTTTCCACCTGACCTCTGAACTTACATATGATACAGTGTTACACATGACTAGTGGCAGGACACTCACAAGTACAGAATTTTGAATCTTTAAATTTATGAGCACTGCGTTGTCCTATGCAGGCTGCCATGGACTTCTGTATGAACATGAACACCAAATCTAACAGGAGGAAGCTTGTGCGAGCCCTCTTCACCGTCCCCAGGCAGAGGTAAACTTTGGTCTTCATTCTTCAAGCTACACTTATCAATATTTTTGTAATAACAGTGGATCAAGTGATTGTAATGTAAAAGGTGTTGCCACAGAGAATTATCAGCCTCAGTAATTTCCTAACTATACACGATATACGTATGTTAGGCAACAAAGAACAAAACAAAAAAATAGTGCATTTGCGGGGGACTATTTTCAGCAGCGGATGAATCCACATTTGATCTTTATGGAGAGTTTGGCAGCAGGACAGTGTGTGTGGGACAAAGTCAAAATCTACTGGAATGTGTGTTCATGGTGATGAAGGGACATGTTACCCAGTGCAGCAGTGTGGTCTCTCCTCTGTGGCTCAGAGGAAGACAATACATCAGGCACTGGATACAGTAATACTTGCAGTACGATCAATTATTATAAATGACTGGGTTTGGTCTCTTCATGGGGCGTGACATTAAGAAGCATATAGAATATTGCCAGCCTTATCTGGTACCTTTAAATGCCACGAGAGGTTGCTATCATCATAGTGGATGCACTGAAGGTCAGTGACACATTGACACTGTCTTCTCTTCCAGGTTGGATCTTCTGCCCTTCTACTCCCGCTTGGTGGCAACTCTGCATCCCTGCATGTCAGATGTGGCTGAGGACCTCTGCTCCATGCTGAAGGGAGACTTCAGGTTCCATGTAGGTTCTCTGTTTGCTGTGTCTCTTGAATAATTCACTTACTTTGATTGTAACTAAATAACACCAGTTTGCACTTGAAATAATTGACTAAACAAGCCTAAACTCAGACACTAAAAATCAAATGAATTTGGTGGAAGTTGTGGCTTGAAGGACTGAGGTTATTCTTGTCATTTACTGTCTCTGTTTTCTTACTTAAACTGTTTGACCCACCTTTTTTGACTTTTCATTCTTTGAAAGTTGATATTGGTGTCTGCAGGAACAAACTAGCAGGACTCTGTTCTTTCTATGACTATAATATGAATGACAAACTTGAATTTGTTCAGTAATTTCGTTATGCTAATGTTTGTGCTTTTAGATTCGGAAGAAGGACCAGATCAACATTGAGACAAAAAATAAAACAGTCAGATTTATTGGGGAACTGGCCAAGTTCAAGATGTTCTCCAAAACAGACACACTTCATTGTCTTAAGGTGGGTGAGAAGTCGCTGCCTGAGATGTGGGGCTTTGTTTCCTCTGGGCTGATCAGTGCACATGTGTTTAACTGGAAGTCTGTGAATGATTTGGTTTTGTTTGTTTTGTGGTTTATTATTACAACATTGTTCTGTGGATTCATTTGTTGATTCATTAGCTCCTCTCTTTTCACCTCTGGCTGGACAGTATGGGGACAGTGTTTGGAGGTTTTAATAAGAAAATGCACCTGAAACTAAAATAATAAATGTGTTTATCTGACTGACTCAACAGATGCTGCTGTCTGATTTCACCCATCACCACATTGAGATGGCCTGCACACTGCTAGAGACCTGCGGCCGCTTCCTCTTCAGATCCCCTGACTCTCACCTTCGTACCAGCGTCCTGCTGGTTAGTGCACATCATTACCGCAGTGGGTCATGTGGGTCAAAGCAGAAGACAGTAATACAATACAGAAAAGAGTAGTGGAGCTAGAGAAGTAGAGTGGGGACACACATTACGATTGCAGAGCTGACTGTGAGGATGATTTGGACAACAAAGTAGCTGTTACTTTACAATCCATTTGATCAGGTTTTAATCCAAGTGCATCTCACTCTGATGAAGTTTGTTTCTCTTCCAGCTCTTTCTCTAGATTTTGCAGTTCACTGGCCCTCATCTGGCCAAATTTAGTGTTTATCCTTTGGGTCTTTTCCTTTTCTACCCTGTGTGTTAAATAAACTATTATGGCTAAAAGTTTTTAATGACTGAAATCCTAGCCGGCTAGGTGTGGTGTTTCTCTTTTCACACAGTTGTTATTTGTGCCCTTTTCTGTTTTCCACAACTGTTTGGTAGAAACATGTTTTGTTTGGCCAGTTTTTGTAGGTTTTCAGCGAGTCTATCTGCAACTTAACAGAACTTAACATTTAATGTCTGGCTATGTAACACACTGACTGTATGGTGACAGGTTTTTCATCCTGCTTTTCAGTGTGACCATTTACTATTGGTAATATAAGCTTATTATATGATATGATTGTTTTTTTTAATGATTTTCCTGTGTTTCAGGAGCAAATGATGCGTAAAAAGCAGGCACAGCATCTGGATGCCCGCTATGTGACCATGGTGGAAAACGCCTACTACTACTGTAACCCTCCACCCATGGAGAAGACGGTGAAGAAGAGGAGGCCACCGCTGCAGGAGTACATCCGCAAGCTGCTCTACAAGGACCTGTCCAAGGTCACCACAGAGAAGGTTCTGAGGCAGATGCGCAAGCTGCCCTGGCAGGACCCTGAGGTCAAGAGCTATCTGATCTGCTGCATGGTCAACATCTGGAACGTCAAGTACAACAGCATCCACTGTGTGGCCAACCTGCTGGCTGGCCTAGTGGCCTACCAGGAAGACGTGGGCATCCATGTTGTGGATGGAGTGCTGGAGGACATTCGGCTGGGCATGGAGGTAAGAGGAGAGAAAATATCATAGCTGAAATTATCGAATGGTCCTCTGTGGTAGTATTCGTGGATTAAAGGATTGAATTGGACTGATGTGTACTCCATTTGAAGTCAGTTAAATCAAATATCACAAGAAAGGAATTGATTCCCAAAAAGTCCTACAGTCCCTTACTATCATTGATAATCTTTCAGTTTTGTGCCTGTGACTAAAGCACATTTACTCACGTAGTATTTCTGCTAATTTATGTTAATAATAAAAATTCAGTAATTTATGATATAATTGTATAAATCAAGTACATTAATTTTTTTGTATTTTTAATGCAGGACTTGAACTGGTCTCAGAGCATTTTTACAGTGTATATCTATGATCATTTCCAGGTCAACCAGCCAAAGTTTAACCAGCGGCGGATCAGCAGCGCAAAGTTCCTGGGTGAGCTCTACAACTACCGCATGGTGGAGTCAGCCGTCATTTTCCGCACCCTCTTCTCCTTCATCTCCTTTGGGGTCAACCAGGATGGCAGCCCCAGCCCCTTGGATCCTCCAGAGCACCTGTTCCGCATCCGCCTGGTCTGCACCTTGCTCGATACCTGTGGCCAGTACTTTGACAGAGGCTCCAGCAAGAAGAAGCTGGACTGTTTCCTCATATACTTCCAGGCATGTCTGCTCGCAATTCCTCTCAAGTCCCTGTCTTTAGTTTTGAATTCTCCATCTGTCATTGATTTCACTCATTTCTTTCAGTGGTGGAAAGTGAGTTCATTTATTCAAGCATGGTGTTAAATACAGTTTTGAGGTACTGTTTCCCACTTCCAGTTGAGTAAAGGCATTATAAAATGAAACTCTATAGTATTATGAGTGCATGTGTTAATAGTACATCCTGTGATTTTTGTAAAGTGTGACAGCAGGGGGCGCTGTTGCACCGATATTATTTTGTATGAGTTATTTAATCTTTAAAATGGATGAAAGAAAAGAGAAGTACTTGACAGTATCTGATTGTTGCATATGTTTGTTAACTCAGTAGCAGGAGTTACTCTGTCTTTAAGGTACTTGGCAGTTTGGTCACCTTTTGGAGAATCTGCCAAAATCTGCCAGCTCTTCTGTAGATTTAGTCTGTCTCAGAGTCTTCTGCGTCTTCAACTAATCCCAGACTGACTCCATGCTGTTGAGATCAGGGCTCCGTGGGGGCTAGATCATCTGTTAGTCTCCCCAGGGGCTGCCATTTTGCCCAGGGCACTCTAGCAAAAGAGGTGATGGCTCTCAATACTTTCTAGTCAGTTAAAGGTTAAATAAATAAAATGATATGTTTTTTTACAGCGTTACATCTGGTGGAAAAAGAGCGTGGATGTTTGGACCAAGGACCACCCCTTCCCCATCGACATTGACTACATGATCAGCGACACCCTGGAGCTGCTCAGACCCAAGATGAGGCTCAGCTGCTCCCTGGAGGAGGCCACCAAGCAGGTCACCGACCTGGAGAGGGAAGTGCTCGTCAAACTAGGTAGGAGCGATTCAGTGTATGTAGATCCTAGAATGAACACTTTTCTGTATCCGGTGTGTACTGAGTAATGACAAAATATGCGAACGATGTAAATGCTTGTGTAGTAGCCAGTTTCTCCAGTTGAGCTGCTCTCTGTCATCCCAGTTGAGCTGCATTCCCTGGTGTGTAGGTCAACGACAGGGCTGCTTTCGTTGTCACTTTGTTTTATCTGTCAGACAGGTTTAGCCCAGCCAAACACACATACACTCACTCAGAGGGCCCAGTCAGTTTTAGCGATGAATGAAATGAATGACGTCCATTGCAGAGTTTCCCTGTGCGTAGAGTCAAATTTTGGTGGCTCGCCCAAATAGATTTAGCACCACCCAAAATGTGATTGATGTTTTTGTGTTGTTCTTTTCTTTTCAAACTTTAGGATGACGTAATTAATTATTTATGCAAAAATGCCAAACATTCTTTGGTTCCAGCTTCTCAAATGTGAAAATTTGCAGATTTTATTTGTTTTATATCTTTGTAAACTGAAAATCTTTGGGTGTGAGACAGAAACAAGCAGTTTGCAGATGCCATGGTTTCACCATATTTTATACAGCAAATGATAATGGTAACTTGTGTCATCATCTCTGATGTCCATCATGATTAAATGTAAGTAAGATCTGGGCTCTGCTGCACAGTGTTATTTGAATTTTCATAAGAAAAGAACCAAGGTGTGGGCAAGATGGGGAGGAAGGAAATGTTTGTGTAGCAGGTGTCTCTCCCTCTGCACCCTGCATAGCTTGACCCGACAGCAGAACAGGAACACTGGCTGTGTTTAGTTTCAAGGTGTAGACTTGGAATGTTCATAAAAATGTAAACCTCAGCTCCACCCTCAGAGAGCATGACACTGCTGTAGTGACCGCAGGCCGTGGCAGTGTTTGTTTGTCAGTTGTGGAAGAAATGCTCAGATCACTGCCTGAAACAAAATGGTTCGCAACCAAGGGGCTGAGACCCTCCAAAGGGTCACAAGATAAAACTGAGGGGTCGTGAGATGATTCATGGGAAGAAAAAAAACAAATAAAAATTTTTATACACAAATTTGTGTTCGTTTTCCGGACAATTCTCTAAACTTTTTCCTAAATATTGCAGAGTTTTACCTCTTTGGGCCTAAAACTGTTATCTAAATAGAATCTGAGAGGTTTAGAGGAGAAATGTGTCTTGGTGGATCTGTTCACAACTCATCTGTAATGTGTCAAGAAGCCACAGCTTGACAAATATCAAAAACAAAAACTTTCAGAACCTCTGATTTAATCTTAACAACACATATTGTAAGATGATCATAGGTCTTTATGTTAAATCCTTAAAGTAATCAGTAAATATGGCTGGTAAATAAATGTAGTGGTGAAGAAGCATAAAATGGAAACACTTAAGTAAAAGGACCTCAAAACTGTCTTTTAGGTACATTTCATGCCAAAATGTTCTTAGTTACATTCCACCTCCGTTGACTGTGTGTCTGTTATGCTCGTGGCTATGTGCGCTTGTGAATCTAAAGTAGTGAGTGACAGAAGGAGGCCCCTGAAGCTAAACGGGGTGCCATTGTTCTACCTTTCATACTTTAACCTGGCTCTTACATTCCTCAGTCCCCGAGTCACACAAGGCCTGAACTTCAGCTTCAGCCGCCCCGGCCTGACTTCATTCTTACTGTCACATGACGTGCTAATTAGACACTGTAACTGGTGCCACATACTGCCCAGGTGGCGCAGTTACACAGAAAAACACACCAATGAGATGCCAATGAGACCTTAAGTTTCTGTATTTGCTGGTCTTACACCTGAAGCTTTTGTTTGCTGCTGTCGGAACCACCTGTGTGATACTGATTCTAAATCCTCTTGATCATTTTTTTCTGCCGAGTATTTTATTTCATCTTGTGTGTTTTCATAAAGGACTGGCCGCGGAGAAGGACGGCCGCTCCAGTGCCATGAGTGAAGGGGAGGTTCTCGATGAGGAAGACGATGATGGCGATGATGAGGAAGAGGGAGGAGCTGAGACTGAGGAGCAGTCGGGCAATGAAAGCGAAATGAACGAGCAGGAAGAGGATGTGAGTCCTCTGCTCATCATGATCTAACTCTCCAAAATGTCATCCTGATTGTCACTGTTGAGTTGGTCAAGTCACATGATTAGTCCACACTCAGAATGACTTGACAAATGATTGTTCTTGTTTGGGTGGAGAAGCCTCTGAAGCTGTACATAGAGATTCACAGGTAACAAAGGGCAGGAATCCACTGCTGAAAATGTCAAAAGCAGCTGATAAAACCATATACTGATGGAGCTGACCAAGGGATTGCTTATATTAAGTCCAAATTTAAAGAAACTGACTGTAAAGTGACTTCTTTTTTTTTTAACCCTGCAGGAAGGGTCTGAGAATGAAGAGGAGGAGAGGGAGGAAGAGGAAGAGGAGAACACAGACTACCTGACAGACTCCAATAAAGAAAATGAGACTGATGAGGAGAACAATGTAAGATGCGAGCACTGTAATCACTATCAGAATTACAGGAGAAGTGATGGTGAATGTTGATACTTGGATTTAGAGACATGGACCAGTGTTTTGAGTACACTGTCATTATCATCCTAAACTTGGTTGTAGAAGCAAGTGAGAGTATTCTTAAATCTAGCTTTAAGAAAACACTGAGTCCATGAGAGAGACAGAGAGTTGTGTTAAATTAAAGATTTGTACATTTGGTTGTGTTCATTTTCTGCCTGTGCAGGAGGTAACCATCCGTGGCGGTGGTCTGAAGCATGTAGCCTGCGCCGAGGACGAGGAGTTCATTCAGGCTCTGGATAAGATGGTGCTGGAGAACCTGCAGGTATGACACCCGAACAGTTTGTACACTGTGTATATCAACAGCGGTGAGGTGCCCACATTGACACCGAAACAGCTTTTGCTTGTTTCTTCCTGTGTATACTGGCCATTAAAAGATTCCTCCATAAAGTTTCAATGTGAGTGATCAGGGACAAAGTCCTCATGTTTTTAATACCAAATTCCCCTTTTGTTTCTCCTCTGAGCTACAGTGGAAGGACAGTAACTCAAAGAGGGCATTTTGTACTAAGAACGCTGGAAGATACCCACCTGATGATATGTCTATCAGACTACTGAAGCCTCATATCGGCTGTTAGAATATTAGCATACACATTTTTCAATATGTTTTTGCACAGAAAAAGGTCTGTAAATTTTGTAACACTTTGTTACAATGGGCTGTTTTATTGTTGATTATGAACAGAAGGAATGATTGCAGAATACAAAAACTGTTTTAGTGTTCCTCTGAACACCTGACTGTTGTTAACAAGACGCACATGAAACATTTATTTTCTTTACACATGATCCTTTATTGTCCTTCACTGATATTTTTCAGTCTGGCATATTCTTCATAAATGTTATCCCTATCTCTGAGTGTGACTGACCTGTGTGTTATCACTGCAGCAGCGTAGCGGCGAGGCGGTGAAGGTGCACCAGCTGGATGTAGCCATTCCCCTGCAGCTGAAGAGTCACCTGAAGAAGGGAGGCGCCGGACAGCCGTGCATGGGAGAGGGGGACACTGACATCTCCGACACCATGCAGTTTGTCATGCTGACACGCAAGGGCAACAAGCAGCAGGTAAATGCATGGAGGGTGGCAGCTGTAGCACCAAAACATTAACAGGCACAGCATAAAGATACACACATAGTTGGCCTATGTGTATCCTACTTTGGGACTGGCTTAAAGTTTACCCTGTGAATCTGGGCTCATGTTAAATGTTGTTGTGGCAGCAGCCAGAATTTTTTTCTTGGAAAGAAAACGTGTTAATAATGATCTTGTGTTACTGTCAGAACTATATATACACCTTTATTCTTGGAAAAAAAGATGATCAGATCCTCTTGAACCACAACTAGTATGAATTAAAATCAACTTTAAATCACATTGGAGTTATAAATGATCCTTAATCAGACAGTATCTGGATGCAGAGAGATGCACGCCCCTACAGTTAAAAGTGTATAATGTTTTACTAACATGATGGTGAAGTCGTGATGTGGGGTGACTTTTATGTAAATGTTAACTAGTCACATCACATTTAAGGAAAGCCTAAGTTTAGAGTAAGAGCAGGGGTTAAGCTTTTTATTTGTGTTTTAGCTTAAGGTTTGGGTTGGAGGCTAAGGAATGCATTGTCCACAAGGGTCCTCACAAATATAGAAAGGTGAGCATGCGTGTGTTAGAGCGAGCTGCAGAAGTGGAATGTGTGGTCTGAGGGCAGAGAGCAGTTCTTGTTCTGTAGGGTGTGTCCAGCTTTCTGCTGGGGCTCAGACGTTTAATAGAGCATTCAGTCCACACAACTGCTCTGTGTATAAAGGAGAGCTGCCAGATACACACAGGTAAAAAAAAACAAAACATCGCCCTTCATATGAAGGTTGGCAACAACACAGAGTATCTTTGTAGCTGTGTTGGTGAGGTGTGTGGATGGAAGATGAAGTTTTATACCTCTGTAAACACACCCTGCCTCCCCAGGTTACTGCTGCAGTGAATGAAAACATCCTGTGTGTGTTGACCATGTAGCATGACCGACCACTCCACACACACAGCTGCTGCTCTGTTGCACAGGACTAGCACTGACCTGCTGTATGAACCTCCAACACTGACATGCTTGGCCTGTTGCTAACTGGCTATCACAACGTGCCCACAGCACAAGGTGCTGTTATCAGATGTCATCTTATGTCTGACCAAATATATCCAGTTGACTGTAGGCAAGGCAAGTTTATTTATATAGCACATTTCCACACACAAAGGCAGTTCAGAGTGTTTAATAGAAATCTGGATCCTATGGAGCATGCAGTGCTGAGATACAGAAAAAGCAACACAACACTGCTTATCTACACAGTTTGAATCTGGATTGCTGTTTGTATTCACTTTTCTCTAAAGTTTAGATGAGATCGCTCTCACATCAGTGTGTTAAGTATGAAGCTATAGCCAGTTAGCTTAGCTTAGCATAAACACAGGAAGGAGGAAACAACTAAACTTTTGTTAAACAAAACTAGAAAAAAAATGTTGCTGTCTTGTTTGCTCTGGCCCTAAGTCTTAGTGTGTCATGTGTCATTGTGTGTGTCTCTGGGCAACAGTATAAGATCCTGAACGTGCCCCTGTCTTCCCACCTGGCGGCGAACCACTTCAACCAGCAGCAGGCTGAACAGGAGGAGCGCATGAGGATGAAGAAACTCACCCTGGACATCAATGAGAGACAGGAGCAGGAGGACTACCAGGGTGCGGTCCGATGACTTGCTGAGCATGTCTCTGTTTTTGTTCACTTTAATGGAACAATCAGAATGTGAAGCATTAACAGTCACATAGGCAGATGAGAGCAGCTCCGGTGCAGAGGAAGCTAATCGATATATTAATGTTGATACTAGATCCACTTGTTTTTTCCTTCAATATTATACATGACATTAAATTGTGAACATTCTTAAAGCAGTAGTTTTGGAAACGTCTTCTTGCAGAGTTCGATAAGGAGATTGGCTGCTGACAGAGTTATCAGTTAGCTTAGCATAAACTAGGAAACAGCTGAGCTGAATAACACTTTGCATCTAAATAATAATTTGTTTGTGTACTCTTGTTTTTGCCATGAAGAAAGTGGTCAAAGAATATTTCTCATCATACTCTTCACTGTGATTGAGCCACTTTGTTTCTGTGCTGTGTGTCACAGAGATGATGCAGTCTCTCGCCCAGCGTCCAGCTCCGGCCAACACCAACCGAGAGCGTCGGCCTCGCTACCAGCACCCGAAGGGTGCTCCCAATGCCGACCTCATCTTCAAAACTGGAGGAAGGTAAGACCCGAGCCCCATCACCACTGTGCTGACACTCTACCCTTGGATAGGGCTTGTTATTTTATAATGAACTGACCCTGCCTCATTGGTATCTCTTTAAACAGAGAGAAAAGAACAAGCATTGAGAGGCGAGACAGACAAGAGAGGACAGACAAGCAGGAGAGAAACCAGAACAGTGTGGCAGAGTAGGCTAGAACAGCTCAAACTGCATCCAAGCCCCATGGAGGACTTGGGTTAAATATCAGCAGAGATGATGCTTCAGCAAGTTGTTTAAAACAAAACAACAGAGAAATAGTTTTGTTGAAAAGTTTGTTTAGATTTTCACTTTTAACTGATGTGGATTTTCAGGTGCTGTTTTTGAAATAAAGATTAACTAAAAGTTTATACTTCGGCCCTAGCAACACAAGTGTCTCTTTCATGCTGCTTTAAAGTGAAGTGATAATACAACATGAACATTTTAGACAGTACAGATGCATTTATAGAGCAACACAAAAGTTGATATGTCAGTGTTGTGTTCACTGAGGCTGCTCCTGACGGGTTCATTCCTCTCTGACAGATTTAAAACTGATCTACAGACAAAAACAAATGTTTAGTTGATACGATTTTGGTGAACAGTGGTAGTCAAAAGCAACAAATATATTGTTTCTTGTAACTCTTTCACAATAAAACTTTTTCACCTGTTGAATGCTTTTAATGTGAAGCAGCAGTAAAAAATGTTGGATTAGTGTTAGCAGCTATATTTAGCTCTGAAATGGCTGTAGGAGAGTAAACGGTGAGGCTGATATCAGCCCAGATTACAAATAGTAACACTGGAGTACGAGCAGTGTCAAGAACAGGGTTTGGTTTAGTGAAATTCCTAACTTCAACCCTAAGCTTCATCCATGACACAGGCTTTAGGGTTGAGAAGTTGCTCAGCAGCTCTACAGTAAATGTCCTGTTATATCCTCCAGGAGACGCTGAACGGAGTCTGGGCCCGGGCTGAGCGCACAAGAGAGAGAATGAATGAGCAAGAAGGAGAGAGAGAAAGAGAAGATCGGAGGGGAAACCGGTCTAAAACGGAACAAGTCCTCCAGACGCCCACTGGTGATGGCAGGACAGACCAAACCCCTGACCTGAACACACACTCTTACCCTGCTGAGGGGCATGGAGCACAAGGAGGAGAAACAAAAGGCGGGAGCTTGAGGTCAGAGGTCAGGGTTCAGAGAGGTAGCTGTCTTTTCTTTTTTGTCTGTTGAATGAAGTGACAAAAAAACAATTGTCTGGACCAAGTACAAAGATGACTGAATTTCTGACCGGCCGACTGATGGCGAGACGGACTGGAGAGCAGGATCGACGGATCGCCTCTCACCGTCACACCAGGTGGGGGAAGAGTGACTCGTATTTAGGAGTTAAAAACCTGCAAGTGGACAACATTTACATGATATGGATATTTTTTGTTTTTTGGACTTAGGAGCACATCTAACGTCTTGCTAAATTGCAAAGTGCAGCAGTGAGAGGGAGATGAAGGGCAGCATGATGAGGTTTAAACACTGGTTGTGTGTTCATAAACTGTTCATCCCGTGATGCAGGCAACAAGATGTTTTGCACACACAGAGGAATTTATCTGGTCAGAAAGATCAAAAAGTGGCTGATGGGACATCACTCTTGTTCTGCTGTTTTTGATTGAGAGTGGTTTGTCACTAAGGCTGCAGCTGAAGATTATTTCCATTATAGATTCATTTGTAGAATATTTTCTTCATTACTTTGCATAGAAAATGGTGAAAAAAGCCCTTTAGTGTCAACCAGATGGATTCAGATTGGTTGTTTGTTTTAACTGAGTCCAAAATCAAAAAAAAAATGTTTTTACTGTCATATATAACAGAAAAGCAGCAAATCTTCAAATAATTTTTAGCTTGAAAATGGCAGTAGTTTATGAAAAAAAGTCTCAGATGAATTTTCTGTCAGATGTTTGTTGCAGCTGCAGGTTTTGCCATGTCACTGCCTTTCTACTGGAGTATGGCACTTCTAAACAGTATGCCCCCCTGTCAAAACAGGGCATATTTTAATTTACAGCACTTGATTTTACTTGTGAATAATTTTCTAACAATTTTCCTAAAAATAACCGGTAACATTTCACACTAATTACAGAGAAAAATGACACGTTCTGGGGCAATGATTTGACTAGGTGAGCTGAACCGATTAATTGATTGGCAGAAAAGTGATCAATAATACTTTACCTTATGCCCTCTCTTTACATTCCAATATTTTCCAGCTACTGTCCTGTAGCTCTTCATCATAATTTCCTAAAAATATTTGGCATTTCAATGTAAAGTGAAACGTTTAGTTGGTACTTAGAGAAATGGAAAGCCTTAATTGGCACAGTTACAAAATACCTGCTCATTACATTTGAGGTTTTAAGGGAAAAAAAAGAACGTTATGTAGTAGGTAATTGAAAGATAGCTCATAATATGATGTCACTATTCACTGGAGTTTCCTAGATAGACCATTTATCAGTAGTAATGGAAGCTGCACACCAAAAACCAGCTCAGAATCAACATATACAATTAGAACAAGAGTCAGTTTCACTTCAGATACTTTTCGATCTCCTTGCCATTCAGACATCTGGGAGATCCGAAGACCTGAGAGAGCATCATGTGACCTGCTTTGTGATAGCATCATGTGACCTGCTCTGTGATGGACACCTGGGAAAAAAAAAGAGTTAGTTTTTGACAATATTCAGCTTGCTTTGATTTGGATTTGTGTTTGTTTTTTTGAAGTGTCTCCTTTAGTGATGACAGTAACTGACTATATTATTGTAGATGAGTTTCATCTGTGAAGTCTTTAGAGAGATAGACCTGCAGTGTATTCTGCTGCATGCACCAGCTCTTTGTACTTTGTAGTAAAGCGTCCAGCAGTGGCTCTAATTTAGTTTCCACCTAGATACAAGACTATTGTATTTTCCCTGCAAGCAAAAAAAATACATCTTTGTGTCACAGCTGATGATAAACAAACATGATCACAATAAATATATGAAGGTGAATGCTGTTTGTGTCGGTCCATAATGTGTTTTGTAGCATGTGTGTGTGAGAGGGTGTGCTTGTTGTTGGTGTCTAATTACAAGGCAGCAAACAGACGTATTCCCTCATTTCCTGCCTGGTCTCTCCTCTAAGCACTGCTTATGTGTAACATGTTGGCCTCCTAGGGGTCCCCCAGCCAAAAACATTTTAGCTGTAGGGGCTCTGTTAACCCCTTGTTATTTCTTTACATGCCCAGAAACCAACCAGCACCCAATGATACTTGATCTATCAAGTATCTTCTGTCTTGATTGATGGAAAGTTCATGATAACTCATTTGTTATTTGCGTTTTTTACTAAAAATACAGAAAATTCACTTTTAGCCACTTCTCAGTGGTGAATATTCGCTAGTTTCTCTTTTTGACAATTTGAGCAAAAGTATTTGGTCCCTTAATTCATCGCTTTGTAGAAGCCTGTTTGGCAGCAGTTACAGCTTCAGTCTCGTTAGGTAAGTCTCTACAAGCTTTGCACACCTGGCTTTGGGCAGTTTATCTCATTCTTCCTGGCAGATCCTCTCAGTCAAATTGGATGGGAAAGGGTCAGGTCTCTGCTGGGTTTCATTCTGGTCTTTGGCTGGACCACTTAGTACAGTCAGAGACTGGTCCTGAAGCTACTCCAGTGTTGTCTGGGCTGGATGTTTCAGGTCATTGTCGTGCTGAAAGGTGAACCGTCACTGCACTCTGGAGCAGATGTTCTTCAAGGATCTCTGTGTATTTGCCTGCATTCATCCTTCCCTCAACTCTGACCAGTCTCCCTGTCCTTGCTGCCAAGAGGCCTCTCCACAGCGTGATGCAGCCACCGTCATGCTTCACTGTAGGGATGGGGTTGAGCAGGTGATGAGCAGCTCATGGTGTCCTCCAGGCACAGAGCTTGGAGTTCTGCCAAAGAGTTCAGTTTTTGTCTGATCAGACCAGAGATCTTTGTCCTCCTGTTCTCAGGCTCCTTTAAATGCTGTCTGACAAACTCCAAGCAGCTTTTACTCTACCATAAAGGGCTTCGTGGTGGAGAGCTGCTGAGATGGTCGTCCTTCTGGCAGATTTTCAGTCTGTACAGAGGACTTTTGAAGCTCTAATCAGTTTGCCACAGCTGGATTTCAGTCAGGTTCTAGACTCATCTTAAAGGTAATGAAATCAAACAGGATGCACATGACCAGAGGTAGGAGCAGCACAGCAAAGGCTCTGAAATCAGAATACTAGTGATGGGACGAAATGACCTTTTCTCGATACAATTCGGTGCACGATATGGTGTGTACGATTTGATTCGGTCACGTTACAATAAAAAAAATGCTGTGATGACGATGTATGACTAGGTAGCACTGGTTTGATGAAGAGCAACCAGATATAGTGGCTTATGGTCCTTTACATTATTTACAAAAAAAATATGATGTCGCTGGTGCATGGAAACCACACGATATATATCGACCGCTAGACAAAACGATACAAAACGTTTTTCTATCTTGATATATGAATTTTGATATATTGTCTTAAGGCCTATTGAATACTTTTGTAAATGGGAGGTTTCAGTTTTTGATGTCTAATAGATTTGCAAAAAGTTCTACAAACATGTTTTACTTTGTGATTATGGGTTATTGATGGGTAAAAGTGGGAAATTCATCAGTTTGAAAGTAAATCAGGATGGTAAAGTGTCCAAAAACTATGTGTACTGTAGGGGCAGCAGCTAGCAAGGCTTCCCTAACAAAAAGGGATTTAGAATTGAATGATGTGTGTATGTGGCATTGCTTCTTTGGACCAGCATGTTTGTTTAACGTCAGGCGGCTCATACACTGAAAAACACACACTGTCCTAATGTAGCCTTCAATCGGCAGCAGTCTGCAAGAAAGAGCCTCAGTGTTGAAGTCCTGTGTAACAGTCTGCTGTCCAGACAGTTTGCTTCTGTGTTGCTGCTGTTCCGCACACATACTGTATGAAATATAGGTAAGGCCAGAAAAACAAAACTTTCTTGAGAGCAAAGAAATGCTTACTTATTGTAGCACCCTTAACATTTCTGCTACAATATCTAAATAATATCCGAAGTATTTTGAGAATAAGGTAACACTTTACTTTAAGTCACCCTATTTTACACATCATCACGTGCACAACCAGCAGAGTGCTCTGTTTAAGTGAGTTAGCGAGACACGCCCCCTCGTCACCTTAAAGCTTCCGCTCAGGTGAAATATTCCACAGACGTAGCCAATCCCTGATGACACGTTACAGTCCAGAGTGAATTCAAGAAAAATGGAAAGAAGTTCAATTATTTATTCTGTTTAATGATTGGCAACAATTCAACTTAAGATATATTCGGCAGAGTATATACAGTATATAAAGTGGACATTATAAAAAGTCAGAAGGTGTAGCAGGCTGTTGTAGCATAGTAGCAGCTCTCACATGGCCACTCAAAGTCCCATTTCCCAAGCACGGATACACTTTTTATTCTTGTTCTATGCAGATCTGTACACGCTGCAAAAAACATCTCCTCACAAAGTAGGGTATGTTATACAGAATGTAGTTATACACTGCATGTAGGCACCATTGGATCCTTCAACATGACTGTAGCTGAACTACAGAGAACCGGAGTCTGTAAACAAAATTCACAAACACATTCACACAGGAGTAGTACTTTGGTACATATGTGTGAAACAAAATATACTTCAAACATTACTGTAGGTGAACTACAGAGGCCGGAGTCTGGATAAAACACACTACACTTACATAAAAACAGATACATGCTTATGCTATTACAACCGTTAAAACACACTTGTCAAAAACAGCACAGTTACCAACAGTACAAATACATAAGTAACCCAGGACGTTTTTCTAGATTCTGTGGTTTTAGTGCTTGTATTATGTACATTCCCATGTGCTCGCCCATCCCTAAAGAGCAGTTTTAAAGTATTCCCTCTGTGTAGTAAAAAAGTACGTGTTCTGCCCACAAAGCCATTCCACAGTTTGTGGTTTGGTGTGGGAGGTTTGTCCATGGAGTAAAAATATCCTGCAGCTCAGCTGAGCGTCCCATCTTCCAAGAATCCCAGCTCCTTTCCTCTATAACTCCTGCACTGTAGCTATTCCAGGACATCAGAGTTATTGGAATGAATGGAAAAATTAGAGAGCAGTTAAAAAGAAATAGAAGTTTTTTCAGAGTGTTTTTCACTTTAGTTACGATATGTCCCCATGCAGCCTCTTATGAACATTTACAGCTTTGGTCATTTCAAACATAATAAAATTGCTCAAGTGAAAAGTGCTTTCAATATTGTTCTTGCCCCAAAGTGCTGTTAGAAATAAAACGCACAGACAAGCTCACTGTTTAAAAAAAAAAATGCCCATAGTAAACAAACAAACCGGTCCAACCAAAAAAAGTCCCCACGTAGCAGAGGTGATAAGGACTTCACAGCCTGTGTATGAATATTAATTTCACTTTAATTAATTTCAATTTTCACTCCTGCTACGAGGAGAGTGACACCATAAATCAAATAACTTAGAGAAACAAAGGCCAGATTTTTCTGAGTTTGTGCTGAGAGCTTGTTGTTTTCAGTTTTTAGCTCTAAATTATTAAAGATTTAATTACAAACTTTTAAAAATACACTTAAATTTAACCATTTATTGTTTTTCTAATTGTCAAATTACTTATTTGCATAATTACTTGCTCATTTGCCTTTTGTCATAATTTTTGACAGATCAATATTTATACTGTAACAAAAACACAATTTACTGTAAATTGCAGGTATAAGGATATGTTTGCAGCTAAAGACAAAGTACAATTTCACCAGGGCCTGATTAACCTGCTGGGGGGGCATGGGGAAAAAACCGAGCTGTGGGCCCCCACTGACCCCCAGGCACGTATTGCCATACAGTTCCCAGAGCCACAGAAACTTATTCTGGATTACTAACATGCCCCAGACTTTGCAACGTGCCAGTTAGTTTATGTCACTTTTATTAAGTACAAGTTTATTTAAAAACTGAAATATTAATGTAAGTAATATATCAAAACTAGATTTTGACCTCATCAACAGATAAGGCCTCAAAATTAGATAAAGGTCAGACACAAACATAAGGTATGTTTCATTTATGTTGTACTTTAGCATACAACCAAACAAATGCCCTTTTTAATAAAAGTGCAACAAATTAACTGTGGCTTTTGAGACCTTGAAGGTTTGGGGCATTGGGGCAGTTGTGCTCTTAATCCAACCTTACTTTTAATGTAAAAACAAAATATAAAATCAATTTAACTTCTAATCTCAGCTACCTTTCCAAAGAACATCCTATGGTAAAGATCTTTGTCCCATTGTAGTTTATTTTGAATCAGTCCCACACACCATCCTGCTGCCAGTAAAACTAAAGTTTCAGAAAAAAATAGTCCCCAATAAATGCACGGATTTCTTTTAACATTTGATGTTTTTAGGAAATGGGGCTTATTTTAAAAAGCCTGGCTATTTACAGTCAGCCTCATTTGTGGCAAACAAAGGTGAGTTTGGAGAGCAAATGTTATTTGATTCCCCCAGGAAGAGGATGCTTCACTTTATAGCATCAGTTAATTCCAGAGTATACAGTATCATGTCCTAGATCAGAGGATAAAGCAGTTTATCCATCAAGACTTCTGTCATCAAAACTGTGTCAGATGGGCCTGCAGTCATGCTTGTTTGTCAGTTTTTTTTTATGGGCAGGAAGTGAGAACTTGCTGTGCAGGTCTGTCACAGGATCCGACTCCATTCCTCTGTAAAAGTAGGTCTCTCTCCAACCACACCTCAGACATAAATGGAAAAACTCTAGAATACCACCTTCACCAGCAGGTCCACACATCAGGGATTGAGGCTCGACAGACGGAGACTGCAGACTAAATTTGCAGAGTTTATCAAGACTCTTTCAGCAGCCCCAGTTTCCTCAAGGCCTCCTTGCGTGATTCGGTCATAGGCCCCCGCCCAGAAAACTGCACAGTGATGCTCTCGGGGCGAAACATGGAGGCGGGTTTCTGCTTGTGATCAGGGGACAAGACTTGAGGTGCTGCTCTCTGGTGAGCACCTTGGATGGTGTGCCGATGAGGTTTTGGAGCAGGGGCTGGAGCTGGAGCTTTGAAACTCCTTGCTGAGCTGTTTGAAGGGTGACTTAACCCAGTGGAAGGGTTGATGTTTTGGCTTTTTCCTCCGTAATGGTTAGGCTCGGTAGGTAGAGGCTCTGATTTTGCAGGGTAGGACTGACTTTTGTCAATATGTGAGCTGAGGATGTCGGGAAGGTCATTCCTGGTCATGGCTACAGGAGCAGGGGTCATGGCTACAGGAGCACGGGCCATGGCTACAGGAGCAGGGGTCATGG